ACATTGTGGCCGCCATAATGACCTCTGCCAACGAATTTCCCGACGATCCACACCTTTGCGAGGCTTTATCCACCGTTAAGGAATCTGTAATCATGTAAAGACACACAGAGACGACCGCAGAAGATGCTCTCCCTGGCTTCGAAAATCAGCATTGAGGCTAGGCGGACTGTGCTTAACCGCATACTCGGGAGAACTCGGGCGTCAACTTGCCTTCCCATGGGCCGATGTTTTGGGTTAAATTACAAAATTAAAGTGCAGTCTAAGAGGCCAGACGAGGACGAAGATTACTTGTACCGTAACTCGTGAGTGTTTCAGCCTCACACTGGTTACTTGGATTTGGCAGAGTTCAGGATGTGTGCACGAGCATCACCAATGTGGAAATATGTTATGGAACAGTTCCCAACATCAACTACTGAATGTTAGAGCAGTAGCGAGAGTTTATCGTTTCAAGTTTTTGAAGCTATTCTGCTGCGCAGAAATGAATCGCATCACTAGAGCAAACACGAGGAAGATCTTTCCCTAATTGCTTCATCCTGCTAGATAACAGGCACAGCCTCACGACGGACCAGATCCTTTCTAGAGCCAAGTTGAGAATGTGTTATGTAACAGCTCCGTACCCCAACTACTGAACGTCAGATCAGTAGCGGGAGTGCATCGTTTTCGTTTTTGCAGTGACGCGCTGCTGCAATGATGAATTAGAGCAGGGCACATTGGAAAAACACTGAGAAAATTATTTCCCGACCAGATTATCCTGGTAGACACACAGGTACGTGAATGGTTATTAAAAATATGTGGACGACACACTCTTTTCTTGATTTGAAAAGATATTTGAAGACACTCTGGAAAGGACACCCGTGCAAACACTGTAATGCCTGCAGTTTCCGGTTCAGGGAATCATCAGTACAGCAAGTTTGCGTTTCGACCGAAATTTTTGTGATCACGTAGTACTTCGGGACCCGTCTCCTTAACAGGCAATTTTCTGACAAATATTGGAAACGAGTATCCTTTTTCAGAATACCCCTACACGGAGCGGAACATTAGTAAACAAACAGATAATCTCTATACAGACAGCATCGAAGAGAAGCTTAGGGAGATTCAGGATTTGTCTCATGGAAACTGGTATTCTGACAGGTTGATTGCAAAGAATGCCGCCGAACGTCCGGAAAATCCATCACATTGACTGCCGAAACGAAAACTGCTATTCAAAATCCCTCTCCAAGGGAACGCCGCGAGTGAAATGCTTAGAAGACGGCTTTACAAAGCTGTCTCATGAAACCTCTCAGTAGCAAAGGTTCTAATAGTATTATCTCCTAACCACATTTTACGAGGAAAGGGTAAGTACAGGTTACAATCTCAGACCACCTCAATGGGCATCTACTCCTTCATTTGTTCCTGTGGAGAAGGTTATATCGGTTGCATGAGTCGGCACCTATCCAAAAGAATACGAAAACACTTACCGATTTGGCTAGGAAAAGGCGAAACTTGCGAGCATAAACAAAGCCATTCTTACCAATTTTTTGATTCCGAGCGTCGTGTGGACCCCGGCGAAGCACTTCGCTACGCTATTGGGCTAGCGTTTATTAGCAACGGCAGAAGCGGTCGCAATCAGGTTACGAAGATCGGTCCTGCGCATACAGAAGAACCTCGTCCGCGCTTACCCTGGTCAAAGGTCGACCAACTACATGCAACTTTCCGCACCCTTCCCATTTCACCTTGCCCGTGTTTTAAAACGAACTTTAATCGATTTCTCGTCAAGGACGCAGTATGCGGCCATCGTATACTACGAGTTCTGTGGGTGGGACTAGACGGTAGTAGGCAAACATTCGGCATATTGCGTCTCATGCTAGGTTTCGATACAGTTCCTTGCAATAGAGCGCCCATACTAGGGACCCGATCCCTTGAGGAACGATGGGGGTATCGAGATCCCTGACAGATCAGGAAGAAGTTGGGCATTTTCCACAGCTCTTCCCGTTTGTTTTCACAAAAGAAGTAGACTATATTCCATATAGTTACGAGAGCGCGGAAACGTTAACTATAAAAAGGACAAAGACGCAATATGCCAAGATGACTTGGCTTTTGTCCTCTGAGTGGGGTCGGATATTGTACCCTCGCCGATTTCTCTATTCACTGACGCTTTCGACTTGTACCCAGGTCCCATATAAGTGTGCTATCCCGACGAGAATTTATCGAAAGCAAACATATGCTCACTAACTAGTTTTTAAAATGCTAATGAGTAAGTATATGCGCGGGGCAAGGAAGAGCTATGGAGAAATGCCTGCTATATTTGTCAAATAATGTGTTACTCTGCAAAGTTTTTGGTTGGCAATTTCTCAGTAGGATGACACTCTCTCTCCTGTATCGCCCAGAGAAGCCGGTACTGTTGGCATTTTTACATTGGTTCATCGTTCTACACACCCCATACATAATTCGTTAGTAAACGGCAAGGTCAGTTTAAAAAGAATTCCGATGTGGACAGCGGTCAGGTCGAAAAAATACCCGAAATAATAATGGATGGAATGCATACGTCTACTAGTAAATCGGGAGTATAAACGCTGGTGAAATTGTTAAACAACTGTTGGCCCTATCTTATTAGAAGCACATACTTAATCCTTGCCTTCGGAATAAAGCACTCGACGTGATAACGAATCCATTAAGGGGCATTGCAGACGGCAAACAAGTGAACAGTCGTTAATAACAAATAATCAACAGGTCTGTATAGTTTCACACTGACCATAAATCAAGTAAGAATTGTCACATTATTTGTACATGCGGAGGGGGAGGACAAACGATCAAGGACGCGTCACAATTGACAGTTTGACCGCCGCGCGTGCAGATGTCCACCGTGTACTTCACAGCATGGTGGGCACAGGATGGTGACTTGCGCGTGAATTGATTTACAGCGGTAGTAAACTTGCGCAGGATGCACTGCACACTCTCCTCCCTCACCTACCGTCGAGAAGCCGATGAGGACAGTTGCATAGCGACCAGTACCGAAAAAGACAAGGAACACTGGGATATTCATATCGGGGTATTGGACAAAGCCAAATAGCGGTACACTGCTGCCGGTCAAGAGGGCAAGGCAAGAACTAAATAATGCAGAACCGACAGCAAAGATAAGCGAGATATAAATAGTAATTCGTGGCTTTGTGCCGCACTCGGACTGTCATGTCAGTTCCGTCGTCGATAACAGCGATGTCCACTGTGTGTCCAAAGCGTGATGGGCGCAGGACTGTGACTTGCATCATTTGTTCTTTATTACAGACTACGTTCTCTCCACATATCTGAAGACAGGCAGTATCTACACGCGAGCCGGACAGCCCACAAACCTTGGTCCAAGTAGTGCTGGACCTCGAGCTTCAGTGAAGAAGTAGATGCCGTAGATGCCCTCGAGAACCGTGGCAACAGCATCTGCCTGTTCTGTCCACTGAACGGTTTTCAACACCCGGTGGTTAACAGGAAGAGTCTTCTGTCCCTTCCGAGCGCTGGTACATCGAACAATTCGATATCGAATAAACTTTCAGATGACGAGGTGGCGAGCAAACGTTGCTTCCGATAACTTCTCTTCAGACCGATACAGTTATATGGAAACGGGGTACAGTGATTGAATAAACTTTGACCTCGTGTTTTGCATAACTGGCAGTTCGACAGTCGTTTGTAGTGATGTCCGAAATGTGACCCACAGCATCGTGGGCTCGGGGCAATGAATTGAGCGCGACTTAGTTTAGAGAGATAGCATACTGCGGCTGGGTGGACGGTGCTTGGCAGCAAAACCACTTGCAATCCCGTTCAGGCATGGGGTCAGTGGTAGTCCGTGTGAACTCGCCTTTTCATTAGCAGCTGTTTTCGGCTAAATGTCGATGTGAATGACAACACTGATGACAGAGCTTCTTTGGGAAAGGTAAGAGCTTTATCGGTTGATCTTAGGCTTCGCTTCCCACGGTCGTCGCCAGACGAGTGTAACTGCACAAAAAACAGTCAATATTTCAAACGTGCTCAAAAATCAATACATCTCCCGCGTTTCAGCCACTATGCGGCCGCCGAATACGTTATTGTGCATTGATTGGTTCCCGTCTCTCCTGTAATTTTTCTCTGAGATTTTTGTACATGGCGTCTAACCCAATATGCCCATCAATAATGCATGACTCATCTAAGCGCATGGCTTCAAAAAGTTCTGGCCATTTTCATAGGACAGACGTCAACAATGCGAGTCTTGTCCCATGAAAATGTGTTCCCAGTATCTAGTATGTGCTGGGCCATTTGAGATAGATGGTCTCACCTCTTAACAGCCAACTCATGTTCATGGATGCGTATGGAGGCAGGCTTTTCAGTTTGACCATAATATACGTCCTTGCATTCTTCTCATAGGATCTTGTAGACAATTTCCCTCCTCTGAAGATAGTCAATCCTATCCTCAGAATGTACATGCTGACTGCGTAAGGTAGTCGCTGGTCTGTGCGTCACTTGTATTTGGTGTTTTTTCATGTGTTTTTGGACGAAATCAGATCAGAAATCTGTACACTATAAAAGACAAAACACTCGATGTGATACCGCATCCATAGACGGCAAACAAGTGAACAGAAATGCGCAGCAAATAATCAACAGGTCTGTGTAATTCCAAACAGATCATAGTCCAAATAAGCAATGCCGCATTTGCGA